CGTTGAGTCAGTTCTGACTTACAGCAGCCCCATGTGTACAGAGTAGAACTGCACACAGGGTTTTCAATGGCTGTGATCTTTCAGAAGTAGACCATCAGGCCTTTCTCCTGAGGCGCCTCTGGGTGGGTTCGAACCGCCAAACTTTTGGTTAGTAGCTGTGTGCTTAACCCTTTGTGCCACCCAGGGACTCCCATTTAACAATAGAACAGCGAAATAATACAGGCCTGGCTCAACTGAGCGTTTTGGGCCACGGGGTCCTGGGCTCCTGAGTTGAGTGCGACCTTTGGCCTCTGACCACACCCGAGTGCAGCTGACCTCAGCCCTGTGGGCCGTTCCCCTTCAGGAGCGGGAGCAGATGCAGCGCTACAACCAGCGCATGATGGAGCAGCTGAAAGTGCGGCAGCAGCAGGAGAAGGCGCGGCTGCCCAAGATCCAGAGGAGCGAAGGCAAGACGCGCATGGCCATGTACAAGAAGAGCCTCCACATCAATGGTGGGGGCAGCGCCTCGGAGCAGCGCGAGAAGATCAAGCAGGTAGGGGGCTGGTGGGGTGGGTCTGTGGGGGTGTTGGGGTAGGCTTACCCCACAGCAGATCCAGGCTTGGTGGGGCCTGAACCTTACACCATGCAGAGGAATATAAAATATAAGATGCAACACATGCAAAAGGACAAGTATTGTCTGACCTCCTTTATATGAAATATCCAGATGCATAGAGCCTAAAGTTTATTAGTGGTTACCAGGAGTGGGTGGGAAGAGGAAATCAGGAGTCATTACTTAGGGGGCACTGAGCTTCTATTAAGGGTGATGAAAAAATTTGGAATCAGATAGTAGTGATGGTTATACAACATGGTGAATGTAATTAATGTCACTGAGTTGTACAAATAAAAATGGTTGAAGTGGCAAATGTTTTGTTATATATATTTCACCACCATTAAAAAAAAAAGATAGCACAGGGCCTTGGAAGGGGATGTGCATGTCATAGCCGGAAGCCTCATTAGCCTCGTGGTGACTCCACTGGACGTATGAGGGAGCTTGGCGTTGTGGCTGTGGACTTGCTTGCTTGCTTACACACCATTCCCTTTCATGCTCCATGCGTTTATCCATGTGGCTTCCTGTGCTGACAAACCCTTTCCTCATCCACCAAGACCTCACCCACGGGGCGCCCATGTGGCTCCGGATACGTGGAGTCAGTGGCTTCCATGATGCCCGCGTGGTAAACACGGCTGTCCTAGCCTTTCACGTCAGTGTCATGTCTGTCCTTGTGTCGGCTACCAGCTGGGGGCTCCTCGAGGGCGAGCGCTGGGTCTTAGCTCAGGGTGATAACTTAAACTTGGGGACACAGCTTAAGCTGCTGTTAGGTACTATTACTCAAACCAGACTCTCTAATGGGGGCTCCCTGGGCAGGGCTAGGAAGCCCCCTCCTGCCCCCCAGCCAGACCTGTGGCCCCCTGAGGCACCCACCCTCTCTCTGTTGCAGTTCTCCCAGCAGGAGGAGAAGAGGCAAAAGTCAGAGCGGCTGCAGCAGCAGCAAAAACATGAGAACCAGATGCGGGACATGGTGATCCAGTGCGACAGAAACACAAACGAGTTGCAGCAGCTACAGGTACTGCCCCACCCCCACCCCCACCTTGCAGGGCTGAAATCTTCATCTCCACCAGATTGCTGGTTTCCCAAGGCAGCCAGCACTCAGGGGCCCAAAGACTGCATGCAGGGAAGGCTCCTGTTCAGACCAGCCCAGGGCCGGTTGGTTCCAGTCTTGTCATGCTGCTCTTGAGCTATGTAACCTTGGGCAAGTTACCCTATCCTTCCAAGCCCCATATCCACAAAATGAGCACGAGGTAGGGTGATAATTCCTATTTTGCAGGATTGGGGTAAGGATTTCTAAATGAGATAATGGAGCTGAAAATGCTTTGTCTGGGGCCTGGCAATGGGCATGCAGCGGAATTTCTCAGTCGCTGTGTCTTGGGAAGAGGTGTCCCAGGTATTGCTGAGCTCCTTGATAACTGCTTTACCTGTAGAGATCCCTGACCCCTGGGTTTGCTCCACACCTGGAGTCCTGGCCCCAGGAACTGGTGCTTGGAGGCGCCTTGTGGTGGATCTAGGTATTGTCAGATCTGAAGGATGAGGCGGATCAAACCTCTGTGGACCTGAGGAAGCTGCCCATGTGCACCCATCGCCCACCTACCCGTTGCTGTCGAGTTGGTTCCGACTCATAGCGACCCTGTAGGACAGAGTAGAACTGCCCCATAGAGTTTCCAAGGAGCGCCTAGTGGATTTGAACTGCTGACCTTTTGGTTAGCAGCCGTAGCTTTTAACCACTAAGCCACCAGAGTTTCCCCCAGTGCATGTGTAGTTACGTGTATATAGTTTTATATAAATGGGGTTTGTAATTAAGGAGAAGAAGGAATACCTGATCGATGCTGGTGTTTCATGGCTACACTATGAGGTGTGTCTCAGCCCTCAGTGCCTCTGCCTTCCCATTTTCTCACCTGTTCTGCCTGGAATTTGTTCCAGAATGAAAAATGTCACCTCTTGGTAGAACACGAAACCCAGAAGCTGAAGGCCCTGGACGAGAGCCATAACCAGACCCTGAAGGAATGGCGGGACAAGCTTCGGCCACGCAAAAAGGTAACCACATATGGGCTGCTGGGCTCTGCCCCATGCTTTGCCACAGGTCGGCCTGGGACATCTTAGGTATCCTTTCTTTGCTAGACTCCTGCCTTGTGGTAGCCATAAAATGGGTCTCAGCTTCCCCCACAGCTCCTTCTCCTCCATCTTCCATGCCTCGGTGAAAGGTACCTCCATTTACCTGGACACCAAGCAACCACCTGAGTGACATCCTCAACTGCCTTCTCACCTTCCTGTTCCTTCTGCCATCTTCTGTCAGTCACTTAGCTCTGTTTCCCCTCCTCAGTGGTTGCCCACTTCTCCCTGATTGCTGTTGCCCTCTCTCCCTCATTGCTGCCCGCCTGGTTTACCTGAACCACCTTCTACCTGGGCTCCTTACACCTGCTCTTGTGCCCCACCCAGCCAGCCAAATCCATGGCCCTCTGACATCCAACCGTGCTAACTCTCTCGCCCACTGGTTCTCAATTGTTTTGGCTTCAGGACCTGTTTACACTTTAAAAGTTACTGAGAACCCCAAAGAGCTTTTATTTATGTGGGTCATATCTATAATATTTACCATACTAGAAATTTAAACTGAGAAAATAATCTACCCATTACGTGTTTAGATAAATAACACATTTTTATGAAAAATGACTAAATTTTCCAAAACAAATTTTATTTTACATTTAGCAAATCTATTTCATCTCTAGCTGAAAAGAAGACAGCTGGATTGTCATATCTTTTTCAGCATTCAATCTGTTACATTATGTTATTTTAGTTGAAGTTTATGAAGAAAATCTGGCCTTGTTTCCTACAGAGATATGTATTTAGAAAAGGGAGGAATATTTCTATAGCCTCTTTAGATAATTATGAATGTTTTTCTCTATACTACACCAAAACGCAATAAGTGATAGTTTCTTAAAGGTTAGGTGCAATGTGGAACCCGAAACCATATCAGTGAACTAATCATACTGGACTCCCAGGCCCATACTAAAATCCCTGGTTAAGATCAAATGGTTAAGAGCTTGGCTACTAACCGAAAAGTTAGTGGTTTGAATCCACCCAGATGCACCTCGGAAGAAAACCCTGGTGATCTACTTCCAAAAGATTACAGCCATTAAAAAAAAAACTCCACTTGCATTTTGAATAGACTTTTATCCATGACCTGTAACATCACACATTCATTGGTCATTTGGAAAATACTGGTTCACAGAGTCATGCAGATCTTCCAGATGCTGGCACCTTTCATTATATAGCATAAAAAATAGCACATCCATTGGTATCATCACCAGTCTCATGAGAATGATCTTTAAATATAGAGAAGCTATTAAGCAATGGGCTCACACATAGCAACGATTGTGAGGATGGTGCAGGACTGGGCAGTATTTTGTTCTGTTGTACATCGGGAGTTACTAGGGGTCAGAACTGACTCGATAGCACCTAACAACAACGATATTAAGCTCATGGGGTGGACACAGTTTTCTAAAATTCTAATTTTTCTTGAAAGCTCACATTTTGTTACTGACAATAAATATTGTTAGTTATTTTCCTGAGGTGAGAGGCTGTGTTCATTTTCAAGAAAATATCTGCCAAGTACCCAGTTTGTCTATCAATTGTTCTTCTAAGTAAAAATGATGTTCTATAAAAAAAGAGGCTATGTGAAGAGTGTGCTTCTTAGCTCAAGTAGATACATGAGATTAAATGGGCAACTCCTGTCCAGAGGCGAGATGAGAAGGCAGAGAGGGTCAGGAGCTGGTGGAATGGACACAGGAAATCAGGGGTAGAAAGGAGGAGTGTGCTGTCACAGTATAGGGAGAGCAACTAGGGTCACATAACAATGTGTGTTTAAATTTTTGCGTGAGAGACTGTCTTGAATTATAAACTTTCACTTAAAGCACAACAATAAACTTCCCCCCCACCAAAAAAAAGAATAAATGATCCTTAACTGGAAAAGAAAAAAGAGGCTAGTTAGGCTCACAGCTCAAGCAATTGCACAGGTACTTTTCCTCTAGACAGCCCTCATACTTGGACATGTAGCACACATGCATGTTATGTGCACTTCCCATTTTTCATCACACAGAATATTAAAAAGGTATGTCCTTGAAGGTCACGATTTAATAAAATTTATCATATGTGCTGTTTCATCAAAGATGTTCTTAGGTGAAACTGGCTTTTTTTTTTCCTTGATAAGTGCTTGGTGGTAAAAAATACAGTTTGGTGCCATTGTCTTAATTAAGTTTATTAATTAGCTGAATTAATTAAGTCAGTTAATGAATTATGTTTATTGATTATATTAATTAAATTTAGTGAATGATTAATAAAACTCCAGAAATTTTACCCACCATTGCTTTTGCACCATTAGTACCAATGTCAAAAGAGTGAAAAGGTCAAATAACATCTTAATATTATTATTAAAATAGTTCTGACCTTGTCAGCCCCGTCTCCCCCCACTGAAAGGGTCTCAGGGGCCAATAGGGGCCCACAGACCATGTTTTGAGAACCACTTCTTAAACCACCCCTACTCGTGCTCCAAACAGATTTTAGTACCCACATAGTTCTCCATACCATGTGCTTCCCTTGTTTCCTACTGGGCCTTTGCCCAGGCTGTTCCATTTACCAGAAATTCTGTGCCCACCAGCCTTTGCTCAGCCAACTCTGTATGTCTTCAGGACTCAGGCCAACTGCCATCCCTCAAGGAAGCCTCCCTCCTTAGGCGGTGCGGATGCCTCTGGGCTCTGCTCCCTGTCCTGGCCCCCATCATGGTGCTCATCACATGGTATTAATCATTGTCTGCCATTGTTAGCTTGATCATTCATTCATTTTTCATTCATTCATGTATTCATGCAACCAGTATCTTTTGAGCACACAGCAAGTGCCCCGCACTGTTTTAGGCACTGGAGACACTGCAGTGAACAAAACACGCAAGTCCCTGCCCTCAGGGGGCTGACATTCCAGTGAAGGGAGTTCGAAAGTGAACAAGCATCAGATTGTGCCAAGTGATAGGGAGAAAAAAGAATCAGGAAAGGGAGAGAGAATGGGGATGGGGTGGGGTGAGGCAGTGTGGCAAGAAGGCACAGAGGGAGGATGACCTGCAGGACCGGACGGAGGGAGCCGTGCAGATATCTGGGGGAAGTATTCCAAGCAGAGGGAAGAGCAACTGCAAAGGACCTGAGACAAGACTGTCCTTATTACATTCAAGGCACAACAAGGAGGCCAGTGTGCCCAGGGTGGAATGATGATGAGGGGTGGGGGAATAATAGGACATGAAGTCAAAGAGGAAGCAGGGGCCTGTGTAAAGTCTGGCTTTTACTCTGCCTGAGATGGGAGCTTTTGGAGGGTTTTGAGCAGAGAGGGATCTGATCTGACTCATATTTGAAAAAGGATCCCACTGGTACACCAAGGTTCATTGCAGCGCTATTCACAGTAGCCAAAAGGTGGAAATAACCCAAGTGTCCAATAGCAGGTGAATGGATAAACAAAATGTAGTATATACACATAAGGGATGTTATTCAGCCATAAAAAGAAATGAAGTTCTGATATATGCTATGACATAAATGAACCTTGGAAACATTATGCTGAGTGAAACAAGTCAGACACAAAGGATAAACATTGTATGACCCTACATATATGAAATACCTAGAACAGACAAATGTATAGAGACAGAAAGCACATTAGCGGTTACCAGGGGCTGGGGGGAAGGGATAAGGGAGTTATTACTTAAAGGATAGCGAGTTTCCGTCTGGGGTGACAGAAAAGTTTCAGAAACAAATATTAGTAGTGATTGTACAACACTGTAGATATAACTAATGCCGTGGAATTATATATTTAAAAATAGTTAAAATGGCAGATTTTACATTACATATATTTTACCACAATACAAAAAAAAAAAAGGGTCCCTCTGGCTGCTGGGTAGAGAATGGTCTGTAGAGGGAGGAGCAAGGTTGGAAGCAGAAAGACCAGTAAGGAAATGATTGCAATAATCTTGGTGAGAAATGATGGTGGTTTGAACTAGGATGGGATCAGCGAGGTGGGGTGGACTCATACATGTCTTTGGATGGTTTTCTCTGGAGGTTCTTGCTGGTCTCCACCTTTAGGACCTTGGGCAAGCCAATATACCAATCTGCACCTCATCTGTGAGGTGGTAATATCAATATCATATAACGTTTACAAAAAATTGCCAGCCCATACTACAGGTCAAGGACATACTCATTCTCTTCCACCCCCTACACTCTGAGGAGTTGTTATTAATTGCCTTCAAGCTGATTCGGCTCTTGGCAACCCCGTGTTTGAAGAGTAGAACTGTGCTCCATAGGGTTTTCAAAGCAGATCACCAGGCCTGACTTCCAAGGCACCTTTGGGTGGGTTCGAACTGCCAGCCCTTCGGCTACTAGTCAAGCACTTAACCGTTTGTGCCACCCAGGGACTCCTCTCCTGCCCTATCCTTCACCAGGTACATGTCCCACGTGTCCTGAGGTCCTGAGGTTTGTTCTTCTATCATCCATCAGCCCTGCTTGCTGCAACTGTGGTCTCCACAAGAGGCAGCTGCCCACCTCAACTACGTAATGTCCTTGGAAGACCTTGAATTGAGGCTTTCCTCCCTGTGCTAATGGAGCTTTCTGGCTGGAAACTGGCCAGAGTCCCCGACCTTCCTGTTAGCAGGCACATGCTCATCAGTTTCTGTAACCATAGCCTGCTGGGACTTTTGATACTCGATATTCAAATCTATAAGGCTTTGCTGACATCAGTTGCCTCTAGCCTCAGAAAATAAACGCTTACCTGGTTCTCTTACCTGGGGGCTCTGTAACCTTGGTACATCCTGAAAGTTTGAAAATGAGTAATGAGGTTGCCTCTTAGCAAGTGCCTCATGTCCCAGGTTTCTTCAAGGAGGTGCCTGGCTCAGGGGAGGTACCTCAAGTGTGTGTTTGGGGAGCTGGCATTGGATTTTGCCCAAGGGGGCTGCCTCTTAGAATTCTTTATAGAATTCTTCTGTCATTAGTCAGCTGTCTGCATTGCTGTTGGAA